TGACAGTAAGGCACTATTGCCTTAAAGTTTTATCCAAACCAGGCTTATAGTAGTCTGCAGGGGGAGGGGGAGAAACAAGTGAATAGGAAACCAGAACTTCAGGTTTTGTCAGGCTTTTGTTTAGGCAGTGGGTCAAACTTTCCAGCTTTCTCCACAATAGGTATAAAGGCCACAATAGGTGTAAATTCTGCCTTTTAAAGAAAGCTAATAGTTCTCTTTTAACAACTTGACCCCAGAAGTTGGGGCCTGAGGTTCTCTTTGAGCAGCTCTGCTGAGGAGCTGTCTCTTCCTGGAGCTGCACCAGTTTTCCATGGTTTCAGATTCTCTCCTCCCTTTTGCTTAAAAATCAGCTGCAAACGATGCATTAAGTACCCATTTGCCAACACTAAAATGCATCTAAAATTTGCTTTCCATGTCCTGCGGGGACCTGGCTCTGGCTCCAGGCAGCCTTGCTGCTGTGAAGTATTTTCTCCCCCAGGGCAGGGGATGGACAGAGGACACGATCCCCAAGTGTCTCCAGCCCTCTGAGGAATGTCCTTTGGGTCTGCCTAGCTTTGCTTGGTTTCACCCTTTGTGTCCCCACCAAATGACAATGTCGGTGACAAATCTGTTCATAGAGAATCCAGTAAATACCCTCAGCTGGAGCTCTGGCCTCTGCTGGAAATGTCTGCTGCTAGGAGAGATGTGTTACAAGGAGCACCTGGAGGCCATCCTCTAAGCATATCCTTGGGGGTGGAACAGCCCTTCCCAGGTGAGAAGGGCCATTGTAGCCTTCAGATGGATTTCTCATAGCTGCTAATTAGCAGCCTTAAGACCTTAACGATGCAACCTGATTCCTTGCTGTTGGGGAGCAGCTGTGGCCTTGCAAAGAGTAGGTGGGCGCTCAGGCTGCCTGCTGTAACAGGCTTAGAGCTGAGCGGGCTTGGAAAAGCCAAGCAGGAGGGTCTGGCTGTGCACTTGCTTTCTGCTCCGCTTTTGAAGCAGCTGATCCAGTACAGAAAGGGCCTGCTTGCCAGAGTCCCACTTTGTCTGGCTCCTGGGCACCACCTTGTTCTGGCAGCCAGGCTGAGGTGGGATCTTGCAAACCCTCCTGCTTGCACAAACCTCTACTTGGGTGTTGAAAGAGCTGGAAAGTTACTATATGTGACACTGTGTGTGTATATATATATATATGTACATATATGTACATATATATATATAGGCTTAAGAAGATGGAAGAGGGGCAGTTCCCATGGCAAAAGTAGTGCTGGGGGTCCTGTGCTTAAGTAGGCTTCCTTCTTTTGGAGCTGAAGAAACAACAAGCTACTTCTCTTTTCTCTAGGCACCTGAGAGAAATGCACGGGTTCAAGCCATGGACTGCAATTTTGACCTCATTTGCACTGCCAGTGCTTCCTGGGGTAGAAGGAATAAGAGATGTGCATGTGTCTCATGGGGGTTGCCTGGATTGTCACTAGCATTCCACTCCGGGGTGGTTGCACCAGCCGCCACGCTCAATTAGCAGGAATTGTGTGTTAAATCAACAGGACCTGGTCCAGGTAGGTGCGGCCACGGGGTGTCGGATAGCAGGTTTGTGTTGGGACTTGAGCTGCTGGTGTCCTGTTCCTTGAACAAAGCCCATGCTTGTTCCTGCAGCTGTGGCTTCCTACTTGGAAAGGTGAAACTTAAAGGGGAGTGAGGGAAAG